TGCCATTCGATAGTATATGCCGCTGTGGCTATCACTCACAGGGTGCTGAATCCCATTTGCCTCTACTAGGTCAGGTTCCTACCTTCCAGCTTCACTTTGGAAGCTAACTTACCATGCAGTGATAATGACTGAATGTGGAAACCCTAGAAAGTGTACTATCCTGAGGCCTGAGGCACCTGCTTAGTTAAGAATATGCCCAAACAGGCACACGGTGCATCAATTGAGAGATCTGGGGCTGGTTAGTGTAACACACAATGAAATTTATTTGGCCTATAAAACTAACAATTATTGACATGGAATGGGCTGCAGGGCTGGTTTTTTATCTAGTGACTCAGAAATGCCTTAAAGGAAATGGTTTCCTTCAAACGACTGTCATTTGCTTCCCACAGAACTACTTTCTTCCTAAAGTTAAGTTCTCCTTGTTTCCTAAAGCAGCCTGCCTTCTCGATAACTTTTGATGCTATTTATTGTCTCCCCTTATCTATCAGGACCTGAAAGCATCTCTCTCATTCTAGCCAGAAAAATCCTAAGATTTCCTATTATTGAATCCACCTATTTGTGTCAATCCGAGTGGCAAGGAGTACTGGACCTCTTCGGCAGGCTTACACCAGCAGGTCTCAAATTCTAGTCTCAGGCCTCCTTTATATTCCTAAAAATACTGACGCTCTCAAAGAATCTTTTAATTAAGTTTTTAATCTATGGATAATTATCTGTTGATAGTAATCTCTACTAAGAGTAGAGGTTAACTTCATGAAGAATAATACAGTAATTCACAAAATAATAAAATCACGTATTAATGTAACATTAAATAAGATCTGTCTTCTAAAACAAGATGTTGAGATGATGGCTTCTTTTTTTGTTTTGTTTTGTCTTTACATATTTACAAATCTCCTTAAATCTGGCTTAACAGAAGACAGCTGGATTTTTATATCTGCTTCTGCATTCAATCTGGTGCAAATTGCTTTTATTAAAGTAAAATGAGGAAAATTTGGCTTCACACCAATATTTAATTAGAAAAGAGAGGAGTATTTTATAGGCTTTTAAGATAATTGTGGATATTCTTCTTTGATACTACACCAAAACTCTACAAGAGGCCATTTATTAAAGATTTGTTACCCCATGACATCTGAAACCTTTTCTATAAACTTTTCATACCATTGCACTAAAATCCATTGTCTGTCGTTTTCTTAAAGTGGAACTTTACCATGCACTTGTAACATCAGGCACAGAGCAGATCTTCCCAATATTCGCACCTTATGTTTTATCCAATATCCCAAAACGATGTTCATTAATATCACCATGGATGCCACAGAAATGTCCTTAAATATTGAGAAGCAGTCAAACTTGTGGTGATAGAAACTTACATTCCAAATCTCTTGAAAGCTAGAATATTCTTCACCATGGGCAGCAGTCAGTTGTTCTTGAAGACAGGCTCCGGCCCTCCCTGGTGGCGCAGGGCCCTCCCTGGGTAAGGACACAGCACTGCAAGCTAGCATCAGCTGCTTCAGTGCAAGTTGGATCCACGCCCTGCCCTTGAGGTGACCCTCATGGCACGGCATACCACTCCTGACCCGCCCGCTGCTCCCCTCAGCAGTGTACTTCGTCGACCCCACTACTGTCTCTGGTGAATCCTCTCACCGCCCCTGCACCTCTGGCCTGCACCCCAGTTCTGTATGCATAATAAATCAATCTTAAAAAAAAAAAAAAAAAGACAGGCTCACTTAGTTCACTTTCAAGAAAATATCCACCAAGTACCCAGATGGGAGTAACTGTAATATGTCAGCGGTTTACTCAAGTAAAAATTGTGTTCAATGAAAAAACCCAACTTGCTGCTTCAGTAATGGCAGGGTGTTTTTCCTTAGACATCACCATATTCTCATTTATAGCAAAAGTGTTTTTTGTGCATTTTCCATTTTGTCACATAAAATATTTAAAAGAGGCATACTAAGGGTTGAGATTTTAATAAAGTTAATAATTTTTATTGCTCCATCAAGAACATTTTTAAGTGAAACCACACTTTTTCTTTTTTTTTTAAACCATAAGTGTGTAGCGGTGCAGAGTATTTGTACAGTTCGGTACCACTACCGTGGTTTGTGAAGGTGCCGGCAGTTTTACCCAATTTTGCTTCTGCAGATTCAGCAAGAAAGGGAAATAGTGTTTTAAGCTATCATGAAGTGATATTTATTTATTTATTTTATAACACTTTATTTTTACATTATTTTGTACACTTTTTTTTCCATCTCAATTGTAATCCCCTTGGGTTTCCCATCACCAAGTCATCCGTGTGCCATCACCATAATCCCGTGCACTTCCCTCCCCACCCCCCGTTTTTGATCCCATTCCCCACTCCAACCCCACAAAATGTCTCTGGTATATGGCTGTTCATTATTCTTGTTATTTTCTCGCCTGGTC